GGGGATTCGAACTCGCGACCCACAGATTGCGAGTCGAGTGCCCTAACCACCTGGCCATGCCGGGCCTAGTTGAAATTAGTGAGCAAGCTAAGTTCTACTTAGACAGTTGCTGTCTCAAACTTAAAGTTTATACCAGGAGAAATGTACATATCCCAGAATAGTTACACTAACTCTGTATTTTAATGTCTCACAATATTTACTTGTATATATTTATGTATATATACTTGGAACTTATTAGCTAAACAAGCGCTAATGCTACGTTACAGCAAAATGTTACTTGATTTCTAATGATCTTTCTTTGCTAACATAGAACAGGTCTTCACTTGTGTTATAAGCATTTTACCTTCTAAAGCATAGTAATTGACTACTCTACTCATGTACATAGATACTTAGCCACCCAATAGTTTTATTTCACATTGAAAGTATCATACTTTTCATATACGAGTACCTTTCAGTAAGCGAGATTCCACTATTACAAAACTTAATGATATATATTTTCCTATCCACAATCTTGAAAATCAACCCCTCTTTATAAATATAAAGATATCAAATACGCTGTGTTTAATAATAATAATACAAACGTGCGAAAACATTCTCACACGTAATATAATCGTATTTCAACCTAATACTAATTCATTATTAAAACTTTGCGTTTTAAGATATTTATAATAGGTGTCGCCACCGTACCTTTATCTTAATATAGGAAAAATGCAAGTATCATATAGTTGATGCCAGAAACTGGAGGAACTTTTAACCAAACACGGACAACCTATACGTTAATTTCTCTAGTGACTATTTTAATAACAAACTGTTTAGTACTCCCCTCCTCCAGAGAAATACACACTAGCATGTACACCTAAGAATATTGTTTGCCTACAAGTATAATACACACGTAGAGATATTGATTTGACTTGTTTAATTTTAATATACTGTACTTTACAGAAAGTAACTGACACGTTTATTAAATACCGTCCTCTGTCTGTTGATAGTTTACTCGTTATAAAAGATAAATAAATAAATAACCGTAACTAATGATACTGATCCATCTTATAGCTGGTGAATAGTTCAAGTATATTGTATGATCCTATGGTGTGTATTAAGAACATACTACTATGATTATTTTTCAGACTGGAATTACAATATTTTGAGATGTATATTGATTATTTCTGTTTATTTAGTGAACTTATTGGACAGTATTCTCTCTAAAACAGCACCAACTGTTTGCTTAATCCCGTTCCATTTATGCATACTGAGGTGCAATCTGTGTGTCATGTGAACAACTTGTTTATGAATTTCAGGACATTTTGAAGTACACAGAAAAGGCTGGGCTAGAGAAAGATGCAGAAGATTTACAAAAGGCTGTTCGTATTATGCATGTGGTACCCAAGGCTGCCAATGATATGATGAATGTGGGACGTTTACAGGGGTTTGATGTGAGTAGACACAGCAATGGGTTTAACATTTGAATTTAAAACAAGTTGGTACTGTGTTACGTACGGGTGCACGAACAGCAAAGATGAAGGAAATCTAAGAATGTATGTTTTTGTATTTTAATTCTCAAACTTTATAAACAAACAAAAATAAATAAATCAAAAATAGAAGTTAAAATGACACACTATAATCCTAAATACAAAAACAATCAAAAACACAATTGGATTAACTGGCCTGTATGACTGATCTAATGTTTTCTTGATGGGCGATGAATGAATCCAGACGAATTTCCAAGCGCGGCGATCATCCAAAGGTTCCTGAACATCTCTGTCGTTTTGAGTCCAAACGACTCAGTTGGAGTTATTTCCGATGACCAATAGTCCCAGAGAATCTAAGCAGGTAATGTCCGCAATTAGATAATCTAAAATAGTCCTGGCCTAAAAAGTCCAAATGTGGGTTAAATGGTAATGCCAATCGACTGGCATGAATATCCAAGATTCTGTTACACAAGAAAGAGACATACAGAATCACTTCTTCATAACATGTCAAAAACAACAACAACAAACAACCCTTATCGTCTGTCAAACACGCTTATATACACTGCCGTCCAGAAACGTCCTCAAGGTTAGAGAATAATCTTAACTCATCTACGAATCAGACGTGTAAAGCTGCTTTACATAAAACCACACAAGAAACATTAACAAATAAAAGCATTACTATTAGGTCGTCAAGAAATTAATGTCGCGTTTTGGAACACTTTCTTAAACCCCCCCCCAAAAAAAAACGTACATCATGTATAATAGTTAAACGAACCGCCTAAACGTCACGTTAGTGCAGCCTATGTAATGTGTAAAGTTTAGTACACACTAATCCCTTATAGTGATGGCACACGACGAGATACACATTCGGCATGTAATGCTGTTTGAATACTAGAAGGGAAACAACGCCTCTGTAGCCACAAAGAATATCCAAAGAAGTTTATGGAAATGTTTTGAACGTTCATAAGTGTCAACGATGGTTCATTAAATTTATTTCGGGTGTCTTTAGCTCTAAAAGCTGTGATGGCAGGGGCTGACAAGTTGGAATTGATATTGATGCTCTAAAGACGCTTTTGAGTCTAACTCAAGGCAACACACACTCGTGAAATGGCTCTGACATTGCATGTCCTTCATGAAATAATACGTAAACATCAAAGGAGTATGGAAAACTCCTTAAAGAAGATGTTTGAGTGCCTCACGAACTCTCTGATGATAATCTTTTCCAATGTGTTAATGTTGCTTCGTCTCTTCTGGCGCGTAATGCGCGTGAACCATTTTTGGACAGCATTGTCACCGATGATGAAAAATGGATTATCTACGCGAATATTAAACGCCAAAAACAATGGCTCAATCCTAGACAAAAACCACTTCCGACCCCAAAACCTGGACTCTATCCGCAAAAAGTGATGCTTTGCATTTGGTGGGACATTAAAGGAGTAATTCATTTAGAACTCCTAAATCTACAGTGAACTGTCAATGCAAACATCTATAGTCAGCAACTGGAACGTTTAAATCAAGCCCTTCAGAAACGCCCTTCACTCGTCAATCGGAAAGGTGTTATTCTTCTCTACGACAATGCACGTCCACATGTGACACGTTTGACGCAACACAAGATTATGGAGTTGGGTTGGGAAGTTCTCCCCTAACCCATCATATTTTCCAGATATGGCACCATCAGATGACCATCTTTTTTGTTCCCTGCAACACCATCTTGATGGGGAAATGTATGCAAACATGGAAGGTGTTAAATAGGAAATTGACATGTTTTTTGCTTCAAAGCCAATTGATTTCTTTAATCAGGTCATTAACAACCTGATTGTAAGATGGAAAAGCATCATCGATAAGAA